GTGAGGTAAGAAGGTGAGGTGAGGTAAGGAGGTGAGGTGAGGTGAGGAGGTAAGGTAAGGAGGTGAGGTGAAGTAAGAAGGTGAGGTTAGGTTAGTTAACGGAAGGTTGGTTAGGTTAGGTTAGGTTAGTTAACGGAAGGTACGTTAGGTTAGGTTTAATTGGAATAAAGATAATTTTAATTAGACCCAATTTTCTTTCCTTAGTTTCCATTTTATTAGATTTAGTCAATTAGGCCTAAGTAATCCTAACAATTATATTTGATCTTAAAAAGTCATTATAGGTTACCTTAAGCTAACACCATTACCTTGGTTGAGTAAAGATTAGTTCAAGTTAAAAAGAATTTTGGTTTTAATTTTCTGTGTAACATTATAGCGAGATATTTACTCACCTGTAATGACAAAGAAAATAAATATATCCAAAAATAATGATGATTTGGTAATATTCCTCTGTATAATACAATAATGAAATAAGTATTGGTAATATGTCAGTTAATATAACAACCTCTTAAATATTATACAAGATCTTATTTTCTGAGACATTAAATATAAATAATGAATTAACTGATAAAGGTTTATAGAGTTGACTGACAGATGACGCTTCAGTGATTTCAGTCAATTATCATGTAAACAAAACATAAATCACGCCCTGACATCCTTTTTTAGTGGTTATTAACAAAAACAATATGATGTGATTAAGTAGTTTTCTTGTTATTTACTTGTTCTGTCATCTGTTTCCTTAGTCATAACCTTGCCGTCATCCACAGCATGCTCTGTCAACCCACACTCTCTGTCAGCCATACTTTGTCATTCATATTTTGTCATCCACACTCTTTATCTTCCACATTCTCTAGCATCCACATACTGTACTGTCATCCATTTAATCAACCATACATATTGTCATCCACATACTCTATTCATCTCTTTACTCACCCGCCACTTCATGTCATCCACGTTTACTGTCACCCCATGTTCTGTCATCCACTTGTCATCAGTCATCCACCTCATATACATATCTAGGATGACACTCAAGTTTCTCACACTCACACACACACACTCATAACAGCATATACTGCCTATAGCCAACATGAGTATACGCAGCATTACCATTTATCTTAGGCACGTTAGATGGTGACAAAACCTAATAGAAATTTATATATCCTACCAAAACAAATAATTTTACTATCACTATCTTATTTAAATACGTAATACTTAAGACTAATAATACGAAATTTTAATATCATGCAAAATATTACCAAATCATAAAACTCAGGTAAGTAACAAATGATAAACACTACATAGACCACTATTTACGTGCGTCCAGAAAAATGCCCTACGTTGACAGCGAGGGTGTAGAGTGTCCCAGTTAAATGGGGACAGAATGGCCCATAACTCCCCAAAATATGGAGGAAAATAATGATTATCGAACTCGCGCGCCCGAGCTGGTTCATAACGAGTTTCATCAAAATTCATTTCTATATGTTGTCGCGTTCACAGATGGCGGGGTTAGATACTCTCTCTCTCTCTCTCTCTCTCTCTCTCTCTCTCTCTCTCTCTCTCTCTCTCTCTCTCTCTCTCTCTCTCTCATACAACTGCGAATATAATTAATACGCACATTATATTATATTCCACCAGGGTTTAACCTCCACCAGTAACAGACCCAAAAAAAATATGAAAGTTGATAAATTGGATTAGTTTAGGTTGGATTAGGTTACGTTGGATTGAATTACGTTGGATTAGGTTACGTTGGATTAGTTACGTTTTAGAGTTATGTCCTGATAATCTGTAATAATAATTTCCTCGGATAAAAAATAAACCAATGAAAACTCAGGCTTCAGAAAAATTAAGGCTCATGGTATCGAGGGAAAGTTTTAAATTGGATAAAATCATGGCTCGCCGATAGAACGCAGAGGGTCAGCGTAGATGGTGTTAAATCTGAGTGGGGCCGTGTAACCAGTGGGGTTCCCCAGGGGTCAGTACTAGGCCCACTCTTGTTCAAAATCTACATAAACGATCTAGATACTGGGATCAGCAGTGACATAAGCAAGTTTGCGGATGACACCAAAAAGGGCAGCAAATTAATTCAGGGCAGGATGCAAATGCATTACAGGAGGATCTAAGAACATAAGAACCTAAGAAATAAAGTCTCAATAGGCCGGTTGGCCTGTGCATGGCAGCTCCTGTCGAGGATTACTACCACTCTCTATCATCCATGAATCTATCTAGCCTCCTTTTGGAAACTTTCCAGAGTTCCCGCACTTACTACAAAGTTGCTAAGCTTGTTCCACTCGTCCACCCCTATTTGTGAACCAGTTTCTTCCTATCTCCCTCCTAAGCCTAAACTTATCAACTTGAATCCGTTGCTCCTAGTCCTATCCTGTCCGGATATTATAGAACTTTATCTATATCCTTTATTAATTCCTTTCACCCACTTAAATACTTCTATCATATCTCCCCGCACTCTTCGTCTTTCTAGGGAATGCAAGTTATGTTTCTTTAACCTATCCTGATATGGAAGGTTTCTAAGTCCCGGAATCATTTTGTCATTCTTCGCTGCACCGACTCTAGTGAATTTATGTCCATTCTATAATAGGGGCACCAGAACTGAACCGCATAATCGAGGTGCGGCCTGACTAGCCAAAGATATAGTTGCAATAAGACCTCTGCACTCTTGTTACTTACACTTCTAGATATAAACCCAATACTCTGTTTGCCTTATTTCGAACATTAACGCACTGTTTTCTAGGCCGTAGGTCCGGGCTTACAAGTACCCCTAGGTCTCTTTCACAAGTCGACTTCTCTAGGTTGATGTTGTTAAGGCTGTATACATTATAAATTTGTTCTTCCAATATTAAGTACTGCACTTGCTGGTGTTGAATTTCATTTGCCATTTCAGACCACCCCTGCAGTTTATTTAGGAAAATCTTGTCGAACAAATCTGCTAACGTTTTTTGGGAAGTCTTCGGTAGTAGTATACAGCCTTAACAACATCAACACAGAGGGGCTAACTAAGAGCAGCCTGAGACAGTGTATTTGAAAAGTGGGTTTATATAGAAAGAAAGAGGTGAGTTTTGAGAATGTATAATGGAATGTTACAACTCTATCGAGGAAGAAATAAGGGGGATATAAAGTTATTCCGGGGGCTGACCATAAGTTGGATAAGTTAGGTTTAGGAATAAAGGAAATAGGTGTTGGAGAATGGCTGCTGGTATGGGCTCTGAAAGAAAGGAGGCTGTATGTGATGTGGTCGACGAGCTACCATGCACAGGCAACTATCAGACTCCTTATTTTATATGTTCTTATATTATAACAGTACTTCGGGTTATGTCACTCGATGTGTTGGGATCCGTTTTATAATTCTCACAGTCAAAACAAACACACACACACTAGTATTCACCTGACCTACATCTTACAGTGACCTAAGATGACCTGGGATAGGGAAGGGAGTGAAGGGTGGGGGCAGTGAGTGGGGGAGTGGAGGAGTGGAGGGGTAGTAATTATATGCATCAATATAAATGAAATTAAATCTATTTTAACCCAAGAATAAGTAGACGATTGGCTGAATATGTCTATAATGGTACATAAATGAGACATTTTGAACATGGCTAGACTATATACCTTTGGTCCCTGATAAGGCTCCATGTATACGGATTTAGAGCCTCAAAGTGCTCTAAATTTATCTCCTTTCCTCTAAATGCTCCATATTGCTCCAATAAAAATCCCACACGTAACATATCACCAAGATGTCAAATAAAAGAAAAATAAATAAATGTAATAAAAATAAAAATGGTCGTCATGGCGGCCATATTGTACGACGACACAATGCTAGTGCGTCACAGGTAACACAAGTGCGTCACATGTAACAAGTGCGTCACAGGTAACACAAGTGCGTCACAGGTAACAAGTGCGTCACAGGTAACATATGTAAGTAAACGTAAGTAACTTGGGTAAATATTAACAAGGGACGTAATGCAAGTAACATGTGACATGGATAATACAGGTAAGTAGCACAGTTAAATAAGTCAGGTAGGTTTAAACAGGTAACTCAGGTAAGTAACACAGGTAATTAACAAAGGTAAGTAACTCAAGTAAGTAACTCGGGTAATAACTCAGGCAAGTAATACAGGTAAGTAACTCAGGTAAGTAATATAGGTAAGTAATATAGTTAAGTAACTCAGGTAAATATTAAAGGCAATTAACTCAGTTAAGTATCTCAGGTAAGTAACACAGGTAAGTATTATAGGTAAGTAACACGGTTCGGAATAAAGTTTAGCAACAAAAGTAATACAGGTAAGTAATTCAGGTAACTCAGGTAAGTAACATAGGGAAGTAACTCAGGTAAATATCAAAGGTAAGTAACTCGTGTAAGTAATATACTCTAAGAAAGTAACACGGTTAAGGAATTTTTTAGTAACAAAGGTAATACAAGTAAGTACCACAGGTAAATAACTCAGGTTAGTATTAAGGTATGTAACTCAGGTAAGTAACCGAGGTAATTAACTCAGGTTAATAACAAAGGTACGAAATCCAGGTAAGCATAACATAACACGGGAAAAGGATAATGATAACGCATGTAAGTTGAAAGCGGTAACTCAAGTAACAAGGGTACGTAACAAGTAACACTGGTTAACACGGAACAATAACAAATAGCACAGATAAGTAATACATAGGACATGGGTAAATAAAAAATGTGATTAATACAGGTAAGTAACAAAGGTGAGTAATGTATGTAAGTAACACACTTTTTGGGAACCTCTAGGTAGAGAACACAGAATTTCCTTGTTTTTTTTATTTTTTTACTTGAGGGAGCCGTGTGGACATTGAGAAGGAGACGGTTACCAATATGGGGTTTAGGGGCACGAAGCTGTGGGCACGAAGCTGGTGGGCACGAAGCTTGAGGGCACGAAGATGGTGGGCACGAAGATGGTGGGCACGAAGAGGGCACGAAGATGGTGGGCACGAAGATGGTGGGCACAAGATGGTGGGCACAAAGATGGGGATAGATGAGGGCACGAAGATGGTGGAGAAACTGGTGGGCACTAAGCTTGCGGTACGAGGCGGACACTGAACGCGGTACTGAACTGCAGCGAGGAACGGACCCCGAGCGGACCCTAGGCGATGGACAGACGCCAGGCGGATACGAGACGCCAGGCGGACACGAGACGCCAGGCGGACACGAGACGCCAGGCGGACACGAGACGCCAGGCGGACACGAGACGCCAGGCGGACACGAGACGCCAGGCGGACACGAGACGCCAGGCGGACACGAGACGCCAGGCGGACACGAGACGCCAGGCGGACACGAGACGCCAGGCGGACACGAGACGCCAGGCGGACACGAGACGCCAGGCGGACGAGACGCCAGGCGGACACGAGACGCCAGGCGGACACAGAGACGCCAGGCGGACCAAGAGACGCCAGGCGGACACAAGACGCCAGGCGGACACAAGACGCCAGGCGGATACAAGACGCCAGGCGGACACAAGACGCCGGTGGCGGACACAAGACGCCAGGCGGACACAAGACGCCAGGCGGATAGCGAAGACGCCAGGCGGACACAAGACGCCAGGCGGACACAAGACGCCAGGCGGACACAAGACGCCAGGCGGACACCAAGACGCCAGGCGGACACAAGACGCCAGGCGGACACAAGAACCAGGCGACACAAGACGCCAGGCGGACACAAGACGCCAGGTGGACACGACGGCAGGCGGACACAAGACACCAGGCGGACACAAGACGCCAGGTGGACAAGACGCCAGGTGGACACGTGACGCCAGGCGGACACAAGACGCCAGGCGGACACAAGACGCCAGGCGGACACAAGACGCCAGGCGGACACAAGACGCCAGGCGGAGCCACGACGCCAGGCGGACACAAGACGCCAGGCGACACAAGACGCCAGGCGGACAAGACGCCAGGCGGACACAAGACGCCAGGCGGACACAAGACGCCAGGCGGACACAAGACGCCAAGGGACACAAGACGCCAAGCGGACCAAGACGCCGCGACACAAGACGCCAGCGGACACAAGACGCCGCGACAGGACGCCAGGACACAGGACGCCAGGCGGAGCACAGGACGCCAGGCGGACACAAGACGCCAGGCGGACACAAGACGCCAGGCGGACACAAGACGCCAGGCGGACACAAGACGCCAGGTGGACACAAGACGCCATGGTGACACAAGACGCCAGGCGGACACAAGACGCCTGCGGACAGCAGACGCCGCGGACACAAGACGCCAAGCGGACACAAGACGCCTGGCGGACACAAGACGCCTGGCGGATACAAGACGCCTGGCGGACATAAGACGCCAGGCGGAGCTGGCAAGACGCCAGGCGGACACAAGACGCCAGGCGGACACAAGACGCCAGGCGGACACAAGACGCCAGGCGGACACAAGACGCCAGGCGGACACAAGACGCCAGGCGGAACAAGACGCCAGGCGGACACAGGACGCCAGGCGGACACAAGACGCCAGGCGGACACAGGACGCCGCGGACACAAGACGCCAGGCGGACACAAGACGCCAGGCGATACAAGACGCCAGGCGGACACAAGACGCCAGGCGGATACAAGACGCCAGGCGGACACAGACGCCAGGCGGACGAGACGCCAGGCGGACACGAGACGCCAGGCGGACACAAGACGCCAGGCGGACACAAGACGCCGGGCGGATACAAGACGCCAGGGCGGACACAAGACGCCAGGCGGACACAAGACGCCTGGCGGACACAAGACGCCTGGCGGACAAGGCGCCAGGACACAAGACGCCAGGCGGACACAAGACGCCAGGCGGACACAAGACGCCTGGCGGACACAAGACGCCAGGCGGACAAGATGCCAGGCGGACACAAGACGCCAAGCGGACACAAGACGCCAAGCGGACAGACACCAGGAGGACACAAGACGCCAGGTGGACACAAGACGCCAGGTGGACACAAGACGCCAGGCGGACACAAGACGCCTGGCGGACACAAGACGTTAGGAGGACACAAGACGCCAGGTGGATAAAGACGCCAGGCGACACAAGACGCCAGGCGGAGACAAGACGCCAGGCGGACCAAGACGCCAGGCGGCAGACGCCAGGCGGACACAAGACGCCAGGCGACAAGACGCCAGGCGGACACAAGACGCCAGGCGATAAGACGCCAGGCGGACACAAGACGCCAGGCGGACACAAGACGCCAGGCGGACCAAGACGCCAGGCGGATACAAGACGCCAGGCGGACAAGGACGCCTGGCGATGCCGACGCCTGGCGGACACAAGACGCCTGGCGGACCAAGACGCCTGGCGGACACAAGACGCCTGGCGGACAAGACGCCAGGCGGACACAAGACGCCAGGCGGACACAAGACGCCAGGCGGACACAAGACGCCAGGCGGACACAAGACGCCTGGCGGACACAAGACGCCAGGCGGACACAAGACGCCAGGCGGACACGGACGCCAGGCGGACCCAAGACGCCAGGTGGACACAAGACGCCAGGCCGACACAAGACGCCTGGCGGACACAAGACGCCTGGCGGACACAAGACGCCTGGCGGACACAAGACGCCAGGCGGACACAAGACGCCAGGCGGACAAGACGCCAGGCGGACACAAGACGCCAGGCGGACACAAGACCAGGCGGACACAAGACGCCAGGCGGACACAAGACAAGCGACACAAGACGCCAAGCGGACACAAGACGCCAGGCGACACAAGACGCCAGGTGGAACAAGACGCCAGGCCGACACAAGACGCCTGGCGGACACAAGACGCCAGGCGACAAGACGCCGCGGACACAAGACGCCAGGCGACACAAGACGCCTGGCGGACACAAGACGCCAGGTGGACACAAGACGCCAAGCGGACACAAGACGCCAGGTGGACGCAAGACGCCAGGTGGACCAAGACGCCAGGTGGACACAAGACGCCAGGACACAAGACGCCAGACACAAGACGCCAGGACACAAGACGCCGGATAAGATTGGCTGACACAGGACGCCAGGAGGACACAAGTCGCCAAAATAACAAGAACAAAAATTACAATAATAATAATATTAATAATAATATGCCAATTATAATTTCACTGACAGGGATGGAGGAAAGGGGGCAGTGGTCGCCAACCCTCAGACTTCAATGAATATCCAAAATAATATCTTCATAGTTTAATAACATTACCCAGAAGACTTAATGGGATAAAAACAATGGAATTTTAGTCATTATGTATGTCCACTAAAACGGATTAGTTAGAATTAATTATTAAAAACAAATCCCCAACGTAATGTAACCTGGAGATCCATAAAAACAACTAATTTAGATTATTTATTTTCTTGGATTATATTTGATATCTATGAATGGAAAGATAAATGAAAAATAAGAAAATATTACAAAAGACAAACACGAGAAAAAATAAGAAAAAAGGAAGAGAATAGCAAAATCAAATCAAGAAAGAGGAAATAAAACAGAAAATATAATAAAATAAAGAGAAAATTAGAAAACATCAAATCAGACCAAGAAAAAAAATAAGTCCTAAGAAAATAATAATAAAGGAATTAACCTAAAAACAAAATAAAAGCAACCCAATAAAAACAAAATAATACGAAAAAGGAAATAATAAAGACATACGAATGAGAAAACTGAATAAGAATAATTCAAGAATAAAAATATAACCAAAACAATGACTCGGTAAATAATAAACAAAGAAAAATACATAATAATAAAACACATTAAGGAATAAAATCAAATAAACTTAATATAGAAAAATAAAACCGATTTCGAAATAGAAAAAATAGGATAATAAATAATGTAAAATACAGAAAAAGGTCAGAAAATAAAATAAACCGAGAGAAAGAAAATGAATAAATAGGATTCAAATAATAATAATAATAATAATAATAATAATAATAATAATAATAATAATAATAATATCAATAACAAAAATAAACTAGTTTTTTATCATTATTATTATTATTATTATTATTATTATTATCATCATTATTATCAGAGACCAAGGTGATGACACACACACACTATTAAGGACTATCATCTTTAATCTCTCAAGAAACATTTAGAGAAACTGAGAAGACGTAAAGCATTAACTAATATAAATGAGAATTAAAGAGTTTGACCTTTAGTGAAGAAATTATTATACAACAGTTATATGATGAAACTGTCTAATAATTCTGAATATAATTGGTTACGAATATTAACTTATAATAGACAGATAGACATAGATAAGGAGAAGATATAATAATAATAATAATAATAATAATAATAATAATAATAATAATAATAATAATAATAATAATAAGTAACATATAACGAAAAAATTGAAAAGACAGAAAATGGGAGACAGTCATTGAAAACGGGAAACTGAAAAACAGAATTTGACAGAAAAATTGAAGAGATAAAAAGGATGCATAGACAGACAAAAAGCTTAGTTAATAAACCCATCATTCAAGCTTTTCTCATCTGAAGACACGCCGCCTCAGCTTATTTCACCCAAAGCTTTACCACTCTAACACTAACCGCACCCCCCCCCCAATATACTGTTAGGGTGGTTAATCTTTAGGTAAAATAAGCTGGGGTGGCAATTCTTCAGGTGACCTTCAACAGGCATCATGGGCAGACAATGATGACCTTAAATGCGAAAACAAACGTAAAATAAACACGATCTTTTTTTTTCTGTATTATGTATTATTGATTATTGTAGGGCCATTAGCCTGTAGTTTCCTTATGTTAGTGTGATCTGGGGCAATAATTAGTGTGACCTGGTATCGTCAATAATAAGGTCAGGTCAACAAATAGTGTGACCTGATGTTCTTAAGATAAGGTCAAACAATTATCATGACCTGGTAACCACAAGACTAGTATGGTCAGGTCAACAGTAACTATGACCTAACAGCTTCCTAGCAGTATGACCCCATCAATAATATAGTGCGACCAGGGAAGGAGTACTACAAGAGGACTCACTAGCCCCGTATCTCTTTAGTGTGAGTACAGAGAACTACACAACAGAAGTTATTGATGACTATGAAGGAAGAGTTCACCTGTAAGCCATAGTACAGTAATTACCGCAGGCTACAATATACAGACGGTTTGGTTGGATTCAGCACCAAAATTTTAAGAGGGAACCGTGAGCATTATTTACAAATACATGATTACTACAAAATTAATAAAAATGGGGTTATTACAAAATTTCCTAAAATGGGATTTGCGTAAAATATACAAATTTAACATTGCTATAGATTTTATCATGGCTAAGATTAAAGAAAGTTTGAATATGTTAAGTTCAATCAAAATCTTACAAGACTGAGAATACATCATAACTTATACAGGTAAAACCGTAAAATAAAATTACAGATCTTGAAGCAATATTTTACAACCTTATGTTTATTACAATTCCCAGGTTTTCTTAGTGGTTCTTTAGCTATGAGTTATTCGAGTGTTTTCTTGGGTAATGGAAGGTTCAGTAGACACACCATATATTATTTATTACTTTTCAAATAATTCCCAGATATTCTTCCTTTTTTTTTAACCAAATTAATTTAATAAGGCGAAGAATCAATGTTTCTAATGGATTGAATGAGTAAATAAATAAGTGGATAATAAAGTGGTTAATAAAGACCTGAAGAAGAAGGCAGCAAATGGGTAATAAACTTTAAAAAATGTAAAAACCTCTGACTTGGAGTTGAACAATTTATAATAAAAAAAACACAACAAATATCGAAACAACGACAAAAAAATCTGCTTCAAAACGACGACCGCAAAAAAAAAAAAAATTATCCTCAAAACCACAACATAAAAAAAAATCAACTGAATTTCGAAACTACGACCACAATTTATCTTTTTTTTTGAGGTCACACTCTTGAAATTTCTAGTTTACTTGGGGTTAAAATTTCGAAACTAAAAAATTAAAAATAAAAATCAAGAAATTCACAAAAACTACGACGACAGGCGGAGTAGTAGGTCGTCTCTACCTGCCATGGACAACAAGACAACTGGAGGGTCTTATTGTCTTGTCTCCTGACGATACGGGATGGATGGTGACGGAGGATGAATGCCGTGAATGATGGGCAGGAGGAAGGGACGACGGGAAGAACAGGAAGAATAACAAGAATGAAGACTGAATATGTGCTATGAGTGACGGGAAGAGAGTAGACAGAATGGATGCTGTAATGGACGGGAAGACGGAGAGAGAAAAGAGGAATGCTGGAGATGCGGTGACGGGAGGAGGAAATGATGAAGAGATGCTGTAAGAGACGGGAAGAGAGAGAGAGAGAGAGAGAGACGCGGTAGACGGACGAGAAGGGGTGACGGTAGCGGAGGCGGGCAGGGCGGTAGATGTAGGAGAAGGAAGGGAAGGTAACAATCGAACCCTAAGAGACAAAACCGCTCTACATCCCTACCTGAGATGATCCTCTTACACACACACACACACACACACACACACACACACACACACACACACACACACACTTTATCACCAGAGTGTCAGGGTCAACAATAAACATAATCCAGGTATACAGGTTAAAAAATAAGTCAGTCCAGGTGTCTACAGGTGTAATTAGATTTAAAATTGGGTCATTTATACAGGTATTTTACAGGTGCAATTAGGTTTAATATAATGACTTGGAGAAACGATAAACGAAGAATTAATTGCGGGTGAAGAAATATATTTAATTATGTATTTTGGTTTATTCTTCACGTAGTTGTTTATTGAACTAAGGAAGACAATTCTTAGTTAACTTATTAATTATAAAGACAAGAAATGTATCAAAATAACTGGGATTATTTTATTTATCACTTATATAAAAAAAATCAGGACTTTTATTAAATGATTTTTTCCTTATAACAAAAAACAAAACTTAAGGGATTTATTTTACTTCAAATTCTATGAAACTTTGACTGAGGGATTTTGTTTTCCTATTTAAAATGTATTAAAACTTTGAACACATAATTAATTAATTACCAAACATTGATCACCTATTTTCTTTGATCAAGGTATTTTGTTTTCCTTGTACATATAAATCATAACTGATCAAGAAAATATATTTATCCTTTAAGAGGGAATTATTGATCATATATTTAATAGAGATTTGATCAACAGCAGAATCTAGACACCACCAACTCTACACCACCGACTCTACACCACCGACTCTACACCACCGATGCCTTGAGGTTTCGACTGACCAACTAAACCCCACTAAAAACAAATGAATCTACAATAATATAAAATTAACGAGGTTATTACTAAGACCGTCCATTATATATAAACTATTTCCCTATAATAACTATTTTTTTTAAGAATGAATCGAGAAGAAAGAGGAAATTTGGTCAAAGAATTTATTTATTTCATATGAGTAAATCAATTTGTTTCCTTACCGATAGTCATCATAATTATAGTATAATGTTATAGTTATAGAATAATCACAATAATGTTCCTATATATAATTGATATAGTAACATATGTTGCACTCAGGTATAGAAAGTCCTTCCTAGGGTTTGTTAGATTTAAAAAACCCTCTAACGAAATTTATAGATATGAAAGTCTATTATATTTAGGGTCCGTTAGAGGTGAACCCCTCTCTCTAACGGCTTATATATAGAAAAGTCCTTTATATGGAGGTTTTACTGTATATACATTAAGCGTAAAAAGTAAGAAAGAACTAATTAAATTTCTTATATCATAATGTTTTCAGTATATAGATCAACAGGAAAAACTTCACTTAAAACAAAAACACAAACAAATTAACATTCGAACTGACATTTACAAACAAAAATATAAGAAAATCGTCTCTTGTTTACGTAGACACATCAACATTATTTCTCACCTTTATGACACACCCATTAAACAAAATCTCTCTATCTACATCTTGAAATTAATAAAACAATATATTCTTTGTTAATTTTTTTTTATTAGACACCATACACTCAAAAAAAATATCCCAGTAACGTCTAGTAATGCATTAAGAGAAATCAG